CTCTGCATTTGAACAGTGAGTCTGTAAGCTGCTAGCTTCTACAAGGTTCTTCGTTTCTATTGATTGCACTTGTTCCCAAGCAGTAACTTTTTGCTGCTTTATTAAAGAATGTAGTTTGTTAATTTGCTGAGCTTCCATTAACACAACACTGCTGTGTTCAGCACATGTGGTCTATCCATGCTGTGGATTTCAGACTCCACTAAAATATTTAAAGGATTTGGGCAGAAATGATAGAAATGCACTGTGTTAGCATTGACTACATGGGGTTGAAAATGGAAACTCATGCAGTAGCATTTTTTTTGGTGGGGGGGGGGGCAACATGGAATATATTTTTGGCTTTTTTTCCCTAAAGTACCAAATTGGGAGGGTAAGGTCTATCACAAGTTAGATAATTCCATTTTGAATTATAATAGGAACAACAACAATTATTTAATTTTGAAGCACTGTCATCATCTGATAGAAAATACTGTAGCTCATGGTTGAACTGTGGGGTCCTGTATGCTACCCGGGCTTGGTGGTTTTCTTGCAGACATTTCATTATCCAAACTAGGTAACCACATCAGGAAATACTGGAAGTCATGATGTTACCTTGTTTGGTAATAAAACGTCTGCAAGAAAACCACTAAGAAAACATCAAGGACCGCACTGTCATCATCCCGTATTATGCAATGTTCTTCTATTTAGTGAAGATTCTAGAAAAAATGTATATATGGCAAATAGTTCTGAGAATTGTAATTCAGAATATTTAGAAGGCTTCCTATGATGCTAGAGACTGGATCCAAAAGTCATTATTACCAATTCTTTTATTACAAGAAACTGAAAGGCACACATACACACAAAGAGGCAAGCTTTTGGTTCCTCCAGAAATCTTCATCAGGTTATAAGTTGCGATTTCTCCGCGGGTCGTTCATGAAGCCAATGATGAAAGAAGACTCGGGGGCAGGTCTCTCTCGGGATGAGCCGACCCGGAGCAGAGTCCGGAGGCCTCTTTTATTGAGCATACACAAGGAAAGGGGTGGATTCACATAGTCTATGTGGACCAATCATGGTTGTACAAGTTTATGGTGTATGGTAACTCATTTACTTCCATGTAAACCTAAAGAATGCCCATAGTCAACAAATAAATCTTTTACCAGTATGCAAACTTCTAATCCTTAATTAATGTTGAGAGTTAATCAGTTGTAACCTCTGACCTACTTAATGCTTAGAGGTAAACAGTTTGTTTTACTGATCTACTTAGAGTTAAGAGTCTGTGATTACTGATCTACTTAATGCTTAGAGTTAGGAGTTTGTGTTACTGATTTTATGATATGAATAATCATTACTGCTGTTGTATACGTGTTCCAGCACAGCTATGCATGCCTACACTTATACTACAACAATAAGTAATTGTGCCCTTTGGCTACTTATAGCATATAATGACAAAGAAAGTGGATGTTGTTCTATTCAACAAAAGCCATGGATACTTTGTATCAGTAAACCACATCTAGACTGTAAAAATCTGGATAACCACCAAAAGAAAAGTCTAACTCTTGTTGCCACCTATTAATTGTCCAACTTTCTGCTGCCTAATTGTGGCAAGATTGTTTTCCTTGAGGTAAGGCTCACAGACACATTAGCACAGTGTTTCTCAACCTTGGCAACTTGAAGATGTCCGGACTTCAACTCCTAGAATTGAATTCTGGGAGTTGAAGTCCGGACATCTTCAAGTTGCCAAGGTTGAGAAACACTGCATTAGCATGTGAGAAAGCATAAATAAACATTACATCTATATCGGGTGGGTTTCTGCCGGTGTTACTGCTGGCTCGGTATGCCTGATGTGTGCACAGAATATTAAAAATGTCAAAAAAAAATGCCGCGGCGACCGGAGAAGCAGTTCGGGGGCATGGCAAGCCTGCCGTCCCTACCAGTTCGACAACCAAGCTGCAATTTCCACTACCGGTTCACCCGAACCGGTGCGAACCGGTAGCAATCCACCTCTGATCTATATCAGTATTTCTCAATCTCAGCAATTTTAAGAAGCTGGCTGGAAAAGTTTGCGAATTGAAGTCCACACATCTTAGTTACTGAGGTTGAGACCACTAGTCTGTATAACTGGAAACATGCTGAGTAATTTTGAATAAAAAGTCAAATTACAAACCTTGTAATTGGAGAGGTTTGGGCTCTCTAATTGCAGAGCTGCTCTTCAAATGTATAAATACCTTCTCCTCTGGAGATAACGTGTAACTAAAGGTTCCTATTTTCCAAGGGATTTAAAAAGCAATCTAAGCTATGTTTCTCCATAAAAGAGAGTTCTAAAATATATATTGAAAGAACTAAAAGAGTTTGTCATTTTTGCAGTCATATAAATTTATTATCTTCAAATTCCCAGATTCTGAGAAAACAAGATTATATATGTAGACTTTTCACTTTCTGTTTTGTGTTACTAATTATAAATGTGCTTTTTCCCTGTGGTATGTTAAGGGGGCAAAGTTTTAATAGACAAAGATAAACTCTCGGGACAGAGAATTATTTTTGGTTGTTGTATATGAAATTTTAGCATAGAATATGGAGAATTAATATTTCAGTAATACAGCCTAGAAAAAAGCAAACTTACTTCCTTTTTCTGAATGAAGATATATTTAAAATACAGAAATAAAGTTCCTAAAGAAAAAAAAACCCACTTTTTCCCCCTTGGATTTTTCCTCCCTAGTTTAAAGAGATATCCCGCTTGCATCTCGTATGATGAAAGTGTAGAAAATGATTTATTGCTAATCTGATATCTGATGCATTTCAAATATGAAAGTTCTATCCCAGGGCAAAAAAAAAAAAAAAAAAAAAAGATGGAGGGGGAATCCAAAAATAACCTTCCAGTTTGATTTGTTGTGATTTGTCCTCTTCCAAATTGCATCTAAGTCAATAGGACTGATAGAACTTATTAAAAAGCAGCATTTGGATTCAGAGAGTTGCCCACAAACTTTGTTTTGAGTGACTGGTTGTTTCAAAGACATTAGGAAGGCCATCGTGTAAGTTACAGAGGCCATTGCTGGGGGAATCAATAAAATCAAGAAGGGAATCGCAGCTATGTGACTGAAGCCCTTTTGTATGTGAGTTGACAACACATTCACAAGAGTTAGATTTAGATTTCATGGTCATGACACGACCATGACATTTTGATCCCCCTCCCCATACCCCGAGGATACCATATATACACCACCCTTTGGCCTTGCATGTGAAGACTTCGTGTTATCCATATCATGTGCACACAAAGTCTCCGCATTTAGTCCAGAATTTATCCTAATGTTGCCACCAAGCTGCAATTTTTAATGTCACAGAGAAACGTTATTAAACCAATGGAGTTAGAAAATTATTATATTAGCTGCATCAATTTAACATATTTAAATGAAGTTGAATTCTACTTATATCTTGGAATGGCTTGCTACACATTTACCATAGAGCCGAGGTGGTGCAGTGGTTAGAGTGCAGTACTGCAGCCTACTTCACCTGACTGCTAGCTGATGTTGATGTTTATTTTATTTATATGCCGCCCTTTTCCCCTAAAGGGGACTCAGGGCGGCTCACAACT